CAGTCTTCCCAAGTGATTCTAATGGGCAGCAAAGGTACATGTTACAGTGAATTAATATCCTGTAACTCAGAAATAATTTGCAGATTATGTAAATAGTATTTCATCTGTTATGACAGCGATGATGTCACTTAAGTCTTCTGAAATAGACAACACTTTCTCAAAGTTAAACATTACTATAAGGGGATGGGAAGAAAGATCTTGGGAGAAGACGACACCTGTTATTTTACAGCCTATTTATAGTTCAGTTTTATTTTGTTTTTGATACAGAAGTATTAAACAGTCTTGTTTGGAAGTTCTCACTGTGGAAGTTGCGATATATTGTGTTTAAGTCCTGAACTCCCAACGTTACTGCTGAGTTGCAGTGTTCAAAAAGATAGTTACGGTTGCTTAAAACGAGAAGTAGATAAAAATCAAATCAGATCAGTCTCCCTTGCAGCACTTGAGTTTTCAAGGCTTTGGAGGCGTGATGCGCAAAGGAAGCAAACCAGTGCGCTTGCAAAGGGTTGCATAGTATCTTCTCATTCTCTTTAGGAATGTATCACTGTGTACGACTTCCTACAGAAGATTGTAAGTTTTAATTACGGAGATTGTATGGTGATTGTAACATAGGGGCTGAAGTACAAATAAATCACAACCACAGAGGGCTTGGGTTGTGAATAGTTAAAAGCTGTAATACAGGGAAAAGTTACAGTGACAGCTATGGAACTAAAATAAAGTAGGGTTATTCTTGCCTCCCCAAAACAATGTGCTGTGTCCATGCCCTCGGAGTAGGCCAGGTGACTTCAAGTAAAAGTAGCATAGGATACTCTGTAAATAACCCCAGAGACAGTAAAATTGTCTTCCTGTGTAAGTCTAATTATTACACACGACTGATTTATATACAGTGATCAGAGATGCCTTCTCTGTAGTGAAGTAATTGCCAGGTTGTCAGAGGGAGGCCACTGGTAACGTCTCAGGTGCCCCATCCCTTATTTTCTGCCTTCAAGGCCACCGCCTACTAGAACTGCCCTTTTATTTTTACTGTATCAACAATCTCTGGCTTTTTCTTTGGCCACCTATGCTTAGCCCTTTCTGCTACACTTGATAGTGTTGCCCACCGTATCTGGAAATGTTCCCTCATCCGTCCTTTTAATTCTCTGTGAACCATCTTTCATTCCCACTGCTTATTCTTTTTCCTGTCCCCTATCCCTGGTCTTTATATACATTACACATTTCTGTCTTTATCCTCAGAATTCACTCAGAGTAGACCACTTCCCAACCTGGGTGGTTTCCCAGCCTATTTCAGAGATTTTTATTTTGATATCTGTCACTTCTAACTCCATAAATAAAGTGAACTCCTATGTGGGTGAATGCAGAGGGAGGTCTAGAGAGCAGCCATCTGTGGAAGGGCCTAGTGAGGTACGGGTGCCTGGAAAGTTTGTAGTCCAGAGATGACCAAAAGAGAAGCAAGAGAATAAGGCTTGGGAAGGTAGGCAGAGGCCAGATCAAAGGACTTAAATGTTCTGCTTTAAACTTTTATGTTTTCAGGAAGAGATGCCATTGAAGAATTTAAAGCAGTAGCAAGAGAAATGGACTACAGAGAGGCTTGGCAAGATGAGCAGTAAAGGTAGGGAGGATGGGAAAGGAAGCTACTTACAAGGTACTGTCAAGAGGATTTGGTGAATGGCTGGAGGTAGGAAGTAAGGTGTCTAGAATGGTTTCTTCTGGCCTGAGTAATGGGCTGCTGGTTATGTCATTTACTGAGCTGAGAACAGATTTCAGAACAGAGCTCAGCTGGACATTCAAGGAGTAAATCGTAGGCATTTAGATAAACCCAACTGAGCCTGAAAACTCTAGGCCAGAACACATTTGGCAGTAAAAACCGGCATGGATGAAATTATCTTACAATTCAGTTGAAGTAAAATCATAATAGTAAGCACTTACTAGAGTGCTTGCTAGATGCCAGGCACTGACTCTAACAAATTAATTCATTTAATTCTTACAACTACTCTGAAGAAAAGAGCCCCATTGACAGAACCTTAGTGTTAACATTAAATGGGAAAACTGAAGGACAGCAAAGCAGACTAAGAAGACTGACTGGTCAGGTAGAAGGTTGTCATGGAAAACCAAAAGAGAATTTTTAAGAAGCAGGCTAAGGCACAAGGTCACATGAAAAAAATGAAGTGTCTGTTTGATTTTACTACTGTATTATTGGACCTCAGGCCAGAATTCAGCCACTGAAGAAAAAGAGACAGAATGATAGGCTATTAAACTGCTGGAACAAGGAGACCAAGGAGGTGTGAAAGGAGAGGAGAGGCAGAGTCCAGGAGGAGGGCACACCTGCCGCCTCCTTGAAACAGGTGGGTGAGGAAGGATGCCCGTGTAAGTAGATACTCTTAAAGCAAAGGATCCAGATATGGAGGGAGTTCACAGCTCACGACAGACTGCTCATTATTGTTCAAAAGCCCTAGTGAGGCTGGAAAACATAGTGGCATCAAGCTATTGTTATGTGGTTCCTCAATACGCCAGACACAAAAAACAAATGTAAGTTACAGTGGTTTACAGTTTGGAAGGGTTGAGATTAAAAGCCATACCACTGGTGATTTTAATCAGCAGAAACACTCTGATCAGTAATACTGTCTACATACAGGTTTTCAGATCTAGACCTTAGGTGTACTTGTTCTGAGAGCTAGAAAAATGTCTAGGCAGAATGGTAGAGATAAGCTAGGTAGTTCTGGTTTGACCCAGTTAGAACCAATTAATAATATAGCAGGGAGGGGGGTATATTATTCATTGAAAATTTAAGTCTTATCTGTCATTCACAGTACGTGACTTAGATTCTTAGCAAATGTGTTACCAAAACCAATACGTGTCTGAGTGTCCAATATGCTTAGCACTTTGGGAGTGGTGAACGTATGGTATAAGCTATATATGTACTCTTTGCCCTCAAAAAATATAGAAGATAGGACTCAACAAATGAAACTATAGTGCAAAAAAGAAAGTGCCAAAGAAAACTGAAATACTTAGGAAATGTTTTAAAAGTAGGCAGAATTTGAGCTTAACTCCCAAATGGGATAAGAAGCGAGTTTTTCTTTCAGCTTTTATTAAAAAGTACCATCAGGTAGGGGCGCCTGGGTGGCTCAGTCAGCTAAGCGTCCGACTTCGGCTCAGGTCACAATCTCGCAGTCCGTGAGTTCGAGCCCCGCATCGGGCTCTGTGCTGACAGCTCAGAGCCTGGAGCCTGTTTCCGATTCTGTGTCTCCCTCTCTCTCTCTCTCTGACCCTCCCCCGTTCATGCTCTGTCTCTCTCTGTCTCAAAAATAAACGTTAAAAAAATTTAAAAAAAAAAAGTACCATCAGGTATATTTATGGAAAAGATCAATGCTTACAAAGGGTTTGGTTATAAAAAATCTTTGTTGACCTAAGTAGTATCTGATCAAAAGCACAATTAAAGGCCACAAAATATTAAGTATCAGTTTATTTAAATTTCTAAAAGATGTAAAAATAGACAACTTTTCTTTGTAGTAGAAAGAACATGAAGATGTGGAGTCCTAGGACCTAGTTTGGTGTGAAATTAGGAAACTCCTGTAATCCCTCTGGTACCTACCTCCGTTTCCTAATTTGCAAAAGGGCAAGAGTATTACTTGTTCATCCTAACCCTCAAAAGGTCTGTTTGAGAAATAACTGGTCTGATTTGAAATAGAAATTCTTTACGTGTGGCCAACATTAAAATAATAAACTCATCACGATAAGTAGAACATTATAGTTCATGACCGTAATTAGAAATTAAGTGGCAACATGCAGATACTTGCAAATATTAATGTAATGAAACAAAACAGAAGGAATATTTCTTCACACGGTAGTTGGGAAGGAGAAATAAGACTTCTACTACTTAACTAAAACAGTGTCTCTATACTAGCTTTTGAATATTATAAATATCACCAGACACCAAACCACAACATAAATTTCATTTCTATATTTCAGAAAACCTACTTGAATACACTTTGAAACAAGAGTACAACAAAATAGAATATACTTCAAATGTTGAATATACAAACTATTATAGTTCAAATCTGAACACTGGTACTTTCCCTCTTAAACTTCAACTAAAAAAAAAGAAAGAAAGAAAAGAAAGGAAGGAAAAAAACAAAAACACCAGGTATTAGAGCTACCTGACAAAAATTCATGCTGAGCCTGAACTTCCAAGTGACAGTAGAACTGGAACTGATATGTCTGCACAGATGCCAGGGCTAAGTGAGTGACACAGGCAGGTTACAGCAAAAGGCCAGAGCAACTGTTAATTTGTCCACAATTAGGAAACTGACAGACTTAAACTACCATATAAAATGTTACATGTAAATTCTATAACAATACTGTGCTAGGTACAAGATTTTTAAAATTTTTCTTTTAATAAAAAAGCTTTACACAAACAAGCCATTAGCTTATTTCGATAAAGAAAACTGAAAATTAGTCTAAGGCCTTTGTTTTAAATCAGCTTAAGCTATATGATATAAAAAAAAAAAAATCGCACTAGATCTTTTTTGCTATCTTTCTGAAAAGCTTTTGGATCCATTTTCAATTCACATTCTAAAATACCTATATTAGCAGTCTTCACGTAGCACCAGTTAAGTGAGTTCTGTGTGAACACAGTAATAATTGCTGGTATGCATATAAAATGCATCAAAAATTGCTGTATGTAACAATGAGATCACCCATCCCAACCCCTCCCCACTGAAAACTATATAACCTCTTACAGAATGTTAGTGTTCCAAGTCTTAGTGTAACTTGATATTGTAGTGAGTTGCTTGGTCCCTTTTCAATCCTTTTCCTTATTGATGGGTTCAGTTGTTTCCTACTGTAAGAGGCAGTTTTCTGTCAGCATCTCCGTATGTAGTTCATTTCCCACTGAAACATGGGATAGGTAATTTACTTCCAGTAAGTTTGATTGTTTTCTTATATGCATTAAAAATGTTTTAAAGTCTTCTTTTGACTCTTCTTGATGACCTCCCTTGCAAGTATTTATGTTAGTACTATCACTAACAGTCTTAAGTCCGTGGTAGGGCTGCTGTTTTATTTCTCACACGTCACTAGTCCTTCCGTTTTCATAGTTACGGGAAGGGCAATAGCTGAAGGTGCACTGACAACCACTACGTGGGTCACTGTCTTATTTCCATCTGCTGGTTTTTCTTCTTGTACCAGCTGCAAAGTTTTCACGTCATGTTCCTGCTTTTTTGCCACTGCTTCTGATTTTACCTCTGGCCCTTTTATGACCGCACTGATAACTCGGGGAGGAGTCTGGCCAGATGCCTGCTGAGTAGGCACTGATAGTCTCATTACAGGTGTACCATGGGCTATGGAAACAGGAGTAAGTGCTCTCACAGCCAGCGGGGTTCCAACAATGTTAATGCTTCCCGATCCAGTCAGATTTGACTTTGTCTGAAGTTGACACTGTGCAAGTTGTGTAGCTGGGATGGTAATAATTTTGGCAGGCTGCATGGTGATTTTGTCTCCATTTTCAGAAGAGGCTGGCATCACAGTAGGGATTGTCTGAATAACTACCTTTGGAGAGGTTGCTGTTGTTGGACTAGTGCTGGTTATTAACGGTGCACCTGCATTAACTGACTGAACTGCCACAGTTGAAATTTTCTGACCCAACGATGTCATTACAACAGGTACTTGCATTGCGACACGAACTGTCCTAGGAGATTAAAAAAATTGATTTAATGTTAGACAATAGGTTTCTTGAGCAAAAAGATGAATGCAAATCTAAAATGTACAAAACTATTGCTCTCAAACTCTACAGGTGTACTGACAATTTACAGTATGAAATACCATGAAATAAATACATTTTAAAAACAAAAGCCCACACTAAGTTCCATCTACAAAACCATAAAAACCGAGTCAAGTTAGTTGAGACATCTACTTTAACAGCAACAAAATACATTTAAAAAAGATCAGGCAATTTTCCAAGTCTTGATGACAGTGGGTTCTTAGGCTGCTAACATTAAAAAGGGGACATATTTTTGCTAAGGCACTTTCTAAAATAAATACGAGTAATGGTTTCCTTCACTGACCTTGGAGCTGCCGTTGCTGACACAGATGTGGTAGTAGTAGGGGACCTGGATGGAGCATCGTGACCAGGGGAAGTGATATTCACAACTCTAGCTACACCCTTCTCTGCTCTGGAGCAGTTTAGAGAGGAGTTTTTTCCACCACGAACAGAGGTTGCTGCTTTTAGGAGACTCTCTGCAGACAGTGACACTCGTTCTAATGATTTTTCATCAGTAGCTGCTGCTAAGTCTTCATTACAAGTTTCACTTTTGTCGTCGTCTATGACCACTATGTTTTTGGGCATATCCTTGAACTGATATACAAGCCTCTGTCCTTCAACCTTTGCAAGAATACCCCTTTGGTAATAATATCTGTAAGGGAAACAGTACTACATGAATCAAGTGCATTACATTTTTTTACCCCCCAAGAAACACCATGTAGAATGAATAGTAACAGAAACATTCACTTGTTCCTGTTAGAGACCAGAAGGAGCTCCTTTAAAAGGCTGAATCTGTGGAGTATGTGAATACTGTCACGTAAACTTTATGTCCATTTACAAACACCCCTAATTACAAGAAGGCATGTATACTAAAAAGTTTATGAGTTTCCCAAATTGACAAAACTTAGGGGAAATTTTCATATTAAGATAAATCCATTGTAACAAATTCACAGGAACTAAAAAGTAAATTAACGATTTGGAAATCGTTTTGTTTGCGTTTAATTTTCTTAAAGGTCTTCAACTTTTCTATTAAAGAATGGTCCTAAAATTAAGCACATTTTTCTGAAAAGATGGGTTTCCAGTGATGCTGAAATTTTAGACATCTAGACCAAAATCTTTCTCTCTATCTACCTCCAAATCCAAGAAACTGCTCTAGAATATCCCCCAAATTGTTATAATAAGGGGCTTTTAGAGCTCTTTTTAAACCACTAAGACAATGTTCAGAGGTATTACGTTTTGTTTAAAAATTCACTCTTGTGTTCTTACCTCAGAGCTCGTCCCATAGTTTCATAGTTCATATCTGGCTTATTCTTATGCTTCCCCCAAAGCTTAGAGACAGCCTTGGAATCCACAAGCTTGAATATGCCTTTTTCTCTCTGAGTCCACTTAATATACCGAGGACAAGTATTTTTATCTTGAAGTAGATCTAAGAGAAACTCCCACAAATAGGTTGTGTTTCCTTTGAAAAAGTGATAAGACATTGGTGAAAAATTCTTTAATATAATTAAAAGCAAATATTTAATTATGCTGAATAAAAATTCATTTACTACTGGTAAAACAAATGTACTAAGAGTCTCTCAATAAGTACTTGACTATATGAGCAATCACTTATACAGTGTCAAATTGTGTCGCCCAATTACATATAAACTATCTTTCATTATAAAAGTTCTACATATACTTGTTTGCCGGTTTTCAAAACTAATATCCTATTTATAGTTATGATACTCCTATAGAGGTCCTGGGTTTTGTACTATTATACATCACCCTATCCTAAATTTTGAGTTCAGTAAAGGCAAATGCATAATGCATAGCACAAAGTGAACCTGAATTAAACATAATCTAATTTAATCTAATTTATTAATTTACAGATTTAAACCACGAATAAATATGCACCAGTATGTTTATCATATAAGCCCAAATTCCATGATCAAAATTCATCAAAAGGCACTTATTTACTGAAAAGGCAAGTAGTACACAATGAAATATGCAAAACTTTTAGACATTAGTCCAAGGATCTTTTTATAAGATCTATATATATACTTTTATAAGATCTATACTATATACTATATAATGGCACACCCAACATGAGGCTCAAACCCACAACCCCGAGATCAGGAGTCGCACGCTACACTGCCTAAGCCAGCCAAGCTCCCCGAAACGTATTTTTCTTTGGTTCACCTTTATGCATGAACTCTGAAGTACATGTCTTATAAAGTATAAATTACCCATGACCCTTTAAACATTCTTTTATCACTATCCTCTGGACTACCAGTCAATGTGGATTTGATTATCAATGAATGAGAGCTACTGCCTCTAAAAATAGGGTTGTTGTTTTTTTTTTTTTCCTTAACTGCTAATCTCTTTCTACTGATGATACCCGATTCAGTGAAGATAAGCAGTATATTAGAATTTCATTATACACAAACAATTCAGTTAGTAAATACATTTGTGCTTCAGTCTTAAAATATGAACTCCTTAAATAGAAATACTAAGTAGTATTTCTAGCATTTCCTTTAACTGTCAAGTATTCATCAAATGTTAACTATATACAACATTTGATCACATACTAACAAAATTTGAAAATGGGATATTTCTGCAGAGTAAAATACTTATTCATCACACACTACATAGTAGGACACAAAAGAGCATTTAAAACGTGGTCCTTCAAGGAATTTACAATCTAGTCGGGAAGGGGGAAAAAGTAAATGACAAGTTAACAACAATACAAAAAAGAAGTAATGGTTTGAAATGACCTAAGATCTATCACAAGGCAATACATAATTATATTCCAAATGATTGACAAAGTTTCTGGGGTTTCAGGAATGAAAATAAAGTGGATCAGTAAAGCATGAAGACTTGGAAAATGACTAAGATGTGCATAGAGGAAAAGGAGAGAAACTGGGTAGGTAAGGTAAAGAACTTAATCCCCCAAAGAAGAGTCAATTTTTTTTTCCCCTTTGGAGAACTCTTGAGGGCGGACAAGTAGTGGATGGACAGTGTTTATAAGAAGATCAGGCTTTTCAGGCTGCTGACTTTCTTTTATTCCCCTCATAAGCCTCTAGGGCCAGAGGTTCTTAAGTTGATCAAAGAACAGAAAAGAACACTGAGAAGAAGAAAATTACACACACCACCACTGAGTCACTGGGTCATCTCTAGGCTCCTACTCACTATCCCCTTACTTTCATCAAATCTAGATCCAAATTACAGCCTTCATGAGAAGAACCTTTAAGGGTGGGAGGCTTCCAAATTAAGCCACTGCTACTCAATCTAAATGCTGATGCTCTTCCTCAGGCATTTCATTTTCATTCTGGAATTCTCTGAAAAGTCAATAAATTTATTAAGCCATAGTTGAGACCAGTGTGGATCTCTTGACTTGAAAAGATTAACCTTCAACTTTACAAGGTTATATTTATGGCTCTGAAACCCCACTGCACCAGCATCAACATGTATAAACTATAGGTAACCTTCAACCACATCAAGATGAGTACTTGGGACATTTTTATTTTCTTTGTGAAAAGCCCCAGAAGTGGATATAGTAAAAGTGCAGAGAACTTACTCTGTAAAAAAATGTTTGAATAACAGACAATGCCTTTTATATGGTAGGGATTTGAGTGCATCCATGTTTGTTGAACTAGACTCTTAACGTTCCTCAGGTTACCTTTAGGTACCACTCCACCCCAGTTCCCAACCACAAGTTAAAACTTAAAAGTCTTCATCTCATTTTAAGGAAAACAATTTGGAAAGGGAAGACTTTATCAGACAAGGTAGTTCATTAAGCCTCTGACATACTGTCAGCATTTACAATGACATTTTACAGAGGAAACACTGAACTTCTTAAAGTTTTTATATTTATCTTTTTTTAATGTTTATTTTTGAGAGACAGGAACAGAATCTGAAGCAGGCTCCAGGCTCTGAGCTGTCAGTGCAGAACCTGATGCAGGGCTCAAACCCACAAACTGTGAGATCAAGACCTGAGCTGAAGTTGGACATTTAACCAACAAAGTCACCCAGGCACCCCTTAAAATTTTATTTTTATTTAAAAAAATTTTTTTAGTGTTTATTCATTTTTGGAAGACGGAGAGAGAGCACAAGCAGGGGTGGGCGGAGAGAGAGGGAGACACAGAATCCGAAGCAGGCTCCAGGCTCTGAGCGGTCAGCACAGAGCCTGACGCGGGGCTCGAACTCAAACCGCGAGATCATGACCTGAGCCGAAGTCAGACGCTTAACCGACTGAGCCACCCAGGCGCCCCTCAAGATTTTATTTTTAAGTAATCTCTACACCCAGTGTGGGACTCAAACTTACAATCCCATGATCAAGAGTCACATGCTCTACCAACTGAGCCAGCCAGGTGCTCCTGACTGATTTTTAATCTTTTATCTTCACATTTACCATGCTGCCTCAAGTTTAATAACACAATATGGGAATTTTAACAAAAAGTGATTCTGACTGGCAAAAACAGGTCATCACAAAGGTTTTCTCCAGTGTTAAGCATAAGGTCTTTGAGTACAGGAGACTGCTGATGATGGGAATTATTTTAAAAACAGTAATAATTGTATACAACATAAATTAAAAGATAAAACCTAAGATGTTAGAAATGTAAAATGACCAAAGACAGACAAGGAAATAAGTATCCTAAATCCATCCTAAATTGAATTATTATTGGTTCCTGAATAAATAACATTTCAACGTAACTTGATTTGTAACGGATTTTTTTTTTTGCCTTTATTTCCTGGCAAACTTATTAGAGAACTTTTTTTTTTTACTAGAGACTTAAGTTTTGCTTTAATTATTTAAAATTAGATGTAAAACCACCTGTTGAAGATGGAATAAACTTGAATGTATTAAACCAAAATATATCCAGCTATTAAATATAGATCTGAAAACATTCGTGAAAGTGAGAAATTTTGGTTATCAGATAATCAGAACACACCTAAAACCATGATTAAAATTACCTGAAATCAACTTACTTAACATATTAAGACAACAGAATGTAGAAGTCTTGTTAAAGTTTGTTTTTGACGAAAATATGCCAACTCTAAAGCAAAAATATGGTAAGTTTTTGTTCTGACTCCTGACAGGACTGACATTGGTTGAGTAGGAAATTAAATCCAGTTTGCCTTGGGAATTCTTGCATTACCTCTATCAGTTAAAAATGATGTATCCGAAATAAGTCTTCATTATAAACTCTTTCAATTCTGAGTGGCTCTGTGTGAGGATGAGTGCTGTTACACATACCTCCCCATCAAGAACAATGACCCTTAAGAAGGGTGTGCATAAGACTGCATGTAAGGGGCACCTGAGTGGCTCAGTCAGTTAAGCTCCGACTCTTGATTTCAGCTCAGGTCGTGAGCTCACGGTTCGCGAGTTTGAGCCCTGCACTGGGCTCTGTGCTGAGGATGCAGAGTCTGTTTGGGATTCTCTCTCCCTCAAAGACTGCACTTAAGACAACCTTTCCCAAACATAAATGCCTACCTACTGCCTTTTACTCCCCCATAGCCTATCTATGGCTACAGAGTTTCAGTGGGGTAGGGACTGGGTACAAATTACAAAAGCTCCCCAGGTGATGCTCATACATCCCTGATTAAGAACTACTACCAAAGACTGTACTTCTGCTTGTACTAGAAATAATTTTCTTACAAATGCAGAAATGTCGACTGAAAAAAAAAAAAAAATCATCTCACCTCCAAAACAGCCCTCCCCAAATTACCTTTGCCTTCTCTGGGTTTCTTCTTTATACCTAACTCAGGAGACCCATTGGAAATTGGTGATTGCTGGGTCTTTGGTTTACGGCCAACTGAAAAAATAAGATTGAAACCATACAGTGAAAACAAGAAAAACAGAAGCATGATCAGCAGACTCTGTGAGAACACATTATTCATGAAATTGACACTAATTTGTGTATTAATATACTGCAGTGTATATAAAAACTGCATTTAAAATGAGCATTAAAAGCACTTCTGCAATTTCAGATTACAGCAGTTAGTTGGCAGTAATTTCAGTGTATATGGCAAATCAGGTACTACCAACCTATTATTTATATGGTCAGAGCCTCAATTTGCTAACCTCTTCCAATAATGTAGCAATGGAAACGAATTCTAGTATTAACTTTTTTCTGTTCTACAGGATTGTTAGAAAAAGCTTTACCTACCTATTGCAGAGGATGTGGTAATCTGCGAAGCCCTTTCAGCTCAAATGAGGAAAAGTAAAAAGTGTTATTTTAAACACTCTATTGCTCTGAGCCAATCAATTCACCAGAATTTAAGCATATGTGTCCAGATTTCCCCACCTCAACGTGTAGGTACATTATAAGGATAAAAAAAACCTTCCAAATAATTATTTAGTGTGTCTAACAAGGGTGCCCTTCCTTTTGCTTCTCACTTCTGCCATAAGGCTCTCTCAGACAGACTAGCATCCACCGTGAACAGAAAGAAAAGCAAGAGCTGCACTTTATACTAAAACGTGTAAGGCTGAAATGCATTGTTTCCAATCCTTAGCACTGACAGAAGAATTCTGGCAAATGAGGGGGAAGCCTCCACAAAGGCTGGGAGTAGCCAAGCATACTATCTTTACAGATTATATTACTAATTTGGTGACTGTCATACATCTGGGATTTCTGATGTCACTCTGTTCTTCATTAGCAAGGATTATTTAGAGCTAGAGACCTTAATTAAAGTGTTTTATTTCAAACTACATAGCTTTTATATTCTAGAATTCATCATGGTAAAACTAATAAATAAGAAGTATGCTCTGACAAAAATTAAAATGGAAAGTTCACTGGTCTCCTTATTAGAACAGAGATTAATTTTTCAATTTAAATAATGTTTAGATGTATAAATCAATCAGTAATAAGTCTCAAGCAAAAACAAACAAAACAAAAAAAACAAAACCAACTTCCTTAATCAAAACGTTAGCCCAGGGATGCGGCCTGGGTGCCTTAGTCGGTTAAGCATCCAACTCTTGATCTCAGCCCAGGTCTCAATCTCAGGGTCATGAGTCAAACTCCATGTTGGGCTCCATGCTGGGTGTGGAGTTTACTTAAAAATAAATAATTTAAAAAGCCCAAAAAGGCTTAATTTGTTTTCATATAAAGTAGTATTTGTGAAATCATACTCCTTAAGAAATAGTTTATTCATCAGTAGAAAACAAGGTTCTCCAAATTAATTTTTAGAATTGCATGTAGTCGTCTCTTGGAGATTCATAACACACAGTATATCAGAAGGATCTGTTATTAAAAAACAACCTACTTGGGGCATCTGGCTGGCTCACTTGGTTAGGCATCCGACTTGATTTCGGCACAGGTCATGATCTCATGGGTTTGTGAGACTGATCCCCGTGTGTCCAGCTCTGCGCTGACAGAGCACCGCATGCTTGGGATTCTCTCTCTCCCTCTCTCTCTGCCCCTCCCCCCCACTCATGTGCGTGCACGTGCTCTCTCTCTCAAAACAAATAAACTTAAAAAAAAAAAAAAAAAAAACCCTACCTAACTCTGTATGTCCCAAATGAACTTAAGCACAAAATACAAGGTATATATATTTACAAATACATTATTTATCTTTTAAATGGTCATTAAGACCATCTATTTTCAAATATGTAAAATTAGTGTTAAATTGGCAAATTATTTCCTGGTTTATATCATACCACATTTTGGTTCCCTAAATGATCCCATTTTTCATGGTCTTTTCCATCTTCTTTTAAATCCAAAAATTCCTTAAGTATTTTGTAATAATAGCTCCCATGTGAATACAGCCAGCCAAGGTACAATGGGAAGGTAGGTAAACAGGGCTATTTATATGTATGTCTTTTGTTTTTAAACATTTACAGCAGGAAATAATTCTTTCTAAATCCTCTCTCATTCATAGCTCTCACAAGATACATGTAATCTACATGTAACACAGGACTGAAGGTACTCAATCTTATTCTTCACTGTGTCCCTCACAGTAATGAGCGCAGACCTATAAATATCACAGCAATTTGAAATACCTCTAATAGATGAAAAAGCTACCATTATTTCTAACACAAGTTTTTCTTACTTTTGCCTCTGTTTTTTTCTACTCTAAAATGTGAAGAGATGCAGAAGAAAATGGAATTAGATGAGTACCCATTTATACAGATTTTTCATTTTTTTCAAGTTTTACCTTTGGACCGAAGAGGAAAGAAAAGGACCCAGTTGCTGCACATCCCTTAGGGATGCTGGAGGTGTGCTGGGGCTTTGTGCCTCACCCACTGAGATCAGGTCAACAGAAGTTTCAGCAGGAGTCAAATAGTAAGTAGAAAGGCTCTTTATCCATTGGTGAGTTTATTCCACTTAAAAGTCCTTACTGGCAATCTTGGTGTTTTAAGACAGAAGGTAAATAGCATTGGGCTTTCTATTTTAATTCCCACAAAAGAGGGGAACATAAGATTATTAAAAATAGAGAAAATAAAAAATGTTTTTTTTAAAAACAGAAAGCAAATAGGCAGTGAATCTCTGATCTTCCATTTTCCAACACTTGTTATTTGCAGGCAACTTACTTTACAGCTCAAATACACACTTCTTTTAAACAGTATGAACATGTTAAAACACTACTTTAATCTCAATTTGTTGATTCTTTGAGAATATCTAGTTAAAGATAACTTCAATCTTAAATCTACAGCATATATTTCCTATGTCCCTTGATGTGGGGAAAAAAATACCAGAAAAAACTTCACCCACTTTTCCAGAAATTTATAAATATACTCTACCTTTTTTCTTTTTCATTGGTTCATGGCTGTCTGGTGATGTGGGAATAGGAGAGGTATCCATTGGTTCGGATTCTTCAGTTGACACCTCCACTACAGTTTCTGTAATGACATCTGGCCTCATAGCAGCATGGATAAATTCTGGAGTTGATACACAAGGAGGGACAAACACTTCCACTATAAAGAAAAGTTGAAAAATTAAAATTTCCCACCCCCATTAACACTTTTTAATGCGGACAATTCAATATTTGATAGAGGTGAGACTTATTAACAATTCATTAAAACAGGATAAATGCCTGAAGTTAATTTGCTGAATATGCAATATGATCTCAAGTACGTAAGGAAATAAATGCAAAGAAAATCAGGCTGAAGGTAAGGTGGTAAAAAGGTGGGGATCATACGAGGTCACCCCCCTTCTTCACATTTTTACATGCTTTCGAGCTTACTGTAGAAGACTTTGAATTATTTTGACAATTGGGAAAACATCTGAAAATAAAATAATAGTATAATATAATAGTGAGTTCTTTAATAATTACTTTCCTTCCTTGTACCCATCATTATGCTCTAACTAGGTAATACATGCACATGGTATAAAATTAAAAACATTTAATAAAGGGACGCCTGGGTGGCTCAGTCAGTTAAGCGGTCAACTCTTGATTTCGACTCTGGTCATGATCTCACGGGTCTTGAGATCAAGCCCCACATCATGCTCTGTGCTTACAGTGCAGAGCCTGCTTCAGGTTGTCTGTCTCCCTCTCTCTGCCCCTCCCCCACTTGTGCTCTCTTCTCTCTCAAAAATAGTTACAAAAATATTTTAAAAACCATTTAATAAATGTGTCTGCAGTGAAAAGAAAGCACTTACAGATCATTTCAAAATATGAAGAAAAGGAAAACCTCATTACAGCCCAATTAATATCATCTTTCAGTATTTAAAATTTTATTTAATGTAACAGTCCTGATGTTTTGAGTCACTAAACCAATACATACAGACTGCCATTCAGTGTTCTATTACAGTAATGTTGCTCTGGTTTCCTTTCCATGTGCATGAATAATCAGAATAGGACATTTCTATTTCAATTAGGAGACGGTTAATACATACTATTGTGGATCAATACATTGACCAGCATGCCCTAACTTTTTTCTCACATCTCTAAATAATACATGGGATTCCAATTATGAAAAAGGACATTTGCTCTTAGGATTTATTATAAATCCCTATAATAAGAAAGGCCAATATCATTGTATTAAGTCAAATTAACACTTGGACATTAAAACTGGAAGACAAAACGACTCTCAAAGGCAGTCTTGAAGAAAAAACGGGACCAAAAGAAAAAGAAACTTGTAGCCTGAGGGAGTATAGGGAAATGGTGGAAGCTCTATCTTCTCTTTCCACCTCTGATGGTTCCCTGGAGCTACTGCCTATTTATCACTGAAGAAAGGATAGAAAGCAGTCTTGGGAGGCAACTCCACCACCCCATGTGCCATTCCCTTAAGGACTACAAAGGTTTCTAATTTACCCAGAACTAGGAAAATAAGACATGACAGGAGAGGTAAAAACTTAACGAACATTTATCTGTCTATAGTGGGCATTTTCTGTATCATTTATTATAAAAATCAAGTATTTCAAGTATTTAAGTCTTGGGAACTTTGACAAAGATCAATTATTGCTATCACAGGTATTCGTGCATAATAAACCTTGAGAACAACAACAACCCCCATGTATTTAAGAAGAAACTTTCAGGGCACCTGGGTGTCCTAGTCAGTTAAGCCACCGACTCTTGGTTTTGGCTCAGATCACGATATCGCAGTTCATGGGTTCAAGCCCTGCGTCAGGCTCCACACTGACAGCATGGAGCACTCTTGGGATTCTCTCCCTCCCTCTCTGCCCCTCTCCAGCTCCCTGCTAGCTCACTCACTCTCTCAAAATAAAAACACATTTTTTTAAATTAAAGACAAAAACAGAAGAAACTTTTATTTTAGATACGTGGAGTGATGTGACATGTTTAATATAAAACAGAACAATTCACATACCAGGACTTCTTGAATCCCTTAAGCAGGTAGGAGATTCCATATGAAGCAGGGCTTCAGCAGCTTCAATGGTCTTATCTGTACAGTGTACATTACTGCTATGAACTGATGCTTCCACTGGGGGGAAAAGAAGTTCTACTCAATTAAAAATATACTGAATACATTACTAAATTAAAACATATTAGTCTATGAGAAACAAATTCACTCTCATATGAATAAATAAGTCATTGATACATATTAGTCCATATAAATTATTTACACAAATAATTTAAAAAAACAATCCGGTATCTATACTTTACAAAATAAGTGTTGAATTATAAAGCAACTATTAAGAATGATTAGAAATTACCAAGAAATTTCTGAATCTTATCGAAAGGAAAACAAGGACAGACCCTTGAAATCTGAATCTTATATCAACTTTAGAACAAAACTAACTTGGGGGTAGGGGGGTGGACAGTTGTAGTTTAACAACTGGGGAAGTCAATTCTGTATCTTGACATACTGCTACTGAAATCAGGGGAGATACCTTGCAGAATCAGTGGGAAACACACATTTTTACATTAGTTTAATGAATTGGTTTCTTACAGACCCTCCTAGGTGAGTACTCTAACATAGCACCAGAACACTAGGAACTTTCTTCCCAATAACCTTGTCTCTTCTTCAGGACTTCACTGAGCTTTTCTGGGTTTTACCCAATAAATTTGTCTTTAACGTTTCTGTGTTTGTGGGGCGCCTGGGTGGCTCAGTTGGCTGAGCGTCCGACTTCAGCTCAGGTCACGATCTCACAGCTTGTGAGTTCGAGCCCCATGTTGGGCTCTGTGCTGACGGCTCAGAGCCTGGAGCCTGCTTCGGATTCTGTGTCTCCCTCACTCTCTCACCCTAACCCACTCGCATTCTGTCTCTGTCTCTCTCAAAAATAAACAAACATTAAAAAAAAATAATAAATAAAGTTTCTGTGTTTGTTTTCCCATGAAGCCTTTTCTAATTCTGCCACCTTCTGTAACTCTTTTTTAGCACTGTCTGCTTTGCTGACTGAAATACCTGTGAAACAGTAAAACATAATACAGCAATCATTTGGGCTTTCAAGTCCAACAGCTTGGGTTCTGCCACTTATATGTTACCCTAGACTAGCTCAGTTTCCTCTTTCACAAAACAGGTGTATTACTTACCTCATATAGGTGTGAGAATTAAGTGACGTGCAATACCCATAAAAAACATGTACAGTGCCTGGCATATAGATAAGTATATAATAAATGATAATTTCTTACCACTCCTGTAAGATTATATGTTCCCTGAGGTCAGGAGGGCTATCTTAATTCATCTTTATATCTGCTATAATTTCCAATATAGACTTTAAATACAACAGACATGCAAGTATTTCTTTTATGTATTAAAGTTAAAAACAACCCACAGACCTCACAGGGAAATTGGCCAAAGCACAAACTTGCATTAATGACATATTAATTTCACACCCTGACTTAAAATGTTGAATATTCTACTTGGTAAGAGCTTCTGAAACATGAATATGCAACAGTTTCTAATTTGATAGATTTTTCTCAGTATGTCCTATAGAAAAACTAAAACGAAATATTTGTATAAACTGCATAAACCATATGACAGATCCATACATTCTACACACTAAAGATATGAATCTTTTAAAACTGTTTTCAGGAAACTCTGAATTGAAAAAAAAAATTCACTTAATCTCAAAATTCACCAAATGCTAAAGCTTTAGCCTTAAACAGTAGTCATTTGGAGAGCATTTATTTAAAGGAAAAAAAAAAAAATCCAGCGACTGTTTTACCACCTGTTGCACATCATCCACACTCTCAAGCAAGGTACTGAGTCTCTCCAGTTGCTCTTTCCATTTATGGAAATCTGCTCAAAGCTAAACAGTTCCAGAGAGGCAGCCAAACCTCTAAGTAAATCTATCTTTAGGTGACCCTGCTTACTCTTTATCTGCAGCTTCACTGAAGCAAAGGATTCAATCAGTCCCAGCTCAACTTTAAGAAACTTAGTAAGTATAAAATATATTACCATTCTCAAGTAGTTTTTTCAAAGTGCCTCCCCCAACACTCACATGTATTAAAGAACCTTGGAAAGCAATTTCTCAAGCTTTTAAAATTTATTCTAGGAACTTCATTCTCTTTAGAGTCTGCTTGTGTTGCAATTTAGGTGTTGTCTTATGTGCTATTAATAAACTATCCTGGGTAAACTAATTCCTTATGTAATTGTATTAAGACACACCCTAAAAACCTTACCATATTAAAATGACAGCTTCAAAGCACTTGATAATACAGAAACAGAATTTTACCCAATGTTTAATGTTTTCAGTTACAAACAATGAAATGTGCCTAATGGTTACATATAGTGCTGCTCTGAGTTTTTATGCAGTTTGAGGCACATTTCATGTTAGTCATGTTGCTATTTCTGACCTCAAACTCCCGTCTCCCCCAAATTCAACATATTATTTCCCAGAAATATTTTACATTTACAAAGTAAAACATTACATAACAAACTTTAAGAATTAAATTTACCAATTCATATTTTAAATTTAGGATAAGAATATAAAAAATGCAGATGTTCCTTATGAATTATCAAAGAGAAGATCTAATACTCTGTGTTCTGTCAACAAATGGTTGTTGAGCACTTATTATAGCCAGATCCTGTGCCACAAATCTGAAATACAATTGTGAATAGATCTCTGGCCTCATGAAGCTTATACTAAGAGTTTAGAAACATAAATGGTAGTATCAAAAACATAAATGAAAATAAAATATTTCAAAACTAAAGAAAAGTACAAAATAAAGTTACTCTGTAAACTAACAGCTTATTAAGTAGAACACTGATTTTTTTTTTTTTGATGCTTACTAATTTTACCTTTTGTCATTTTTATTAACTGAAATAACCCTAAGCACTAGGAGCTCATACTTAGATCAATTTGCAATATTGTACCCATCAGTATCCAAGAATACTTAACCATTTTGTAAAAGAAAGCACTATCTCCTTTTAATTTTCTTTTGTTGATACAAGTCTGTAAATAGTTTCTGATAAAAGAAATTTAAGAAATATTTCTCAGGGTGCCTGGGTGGCTCAGTCGGTTAAGCTCAGGTCATGAGCTCCCAGTTCATGGGCTTGAGCCCTGTGTAGGGCTCTGTACTGATAGCAGCCTGCTTGGGATTCTTTTTCTTTCTCTCTCTCTCTCTCTCACTCTCGCTCTCGCTCTCTCCCCCCCTCCCTCCCTCCCTCCCTTCCCTGTTTTCTCTCTCAAAATAAATAAAATAAACTTAAAAAAATAAATATTTCTCTTATTCAAGTTTCTGTAATTTTTAAAACCTTTCAATTGCTTTGGTTCAGCTCAGTAATTCAAATACAATTTAAACTAGAATTATGCACAATTCTTAAGGATAAACATGAATTTAACAGTGTTGTACAATCAAAGTAAGCAAATAACCAAACTACATGCAAGGGCTGAAAACTCCTTATCTCTTACTTAAAACTTGATTTACTGGCATCTTTCTAGACCTGTGTATGAAATTAATGGGAGGAAAAAAATAAGCAACACATTTTAAAAATTGAAACAATGAAGACAAAAGTAATCTGAAAGGTATCATTTTCTACTTAAGACTAGTAGGTGGTGTTGCTGGTTAATCCCTCTTGAAGAAATAAATGTATCAAATAAACTTCAAAACAATTTCAACTTTAATCATTGTGCCAAAATCAAATTTGCTTTTTTATGCCCTCCTTTAGTATTGGTAAGAGTCTTGTTGTTTCATTTCCAGCTTTCTAATCAACTGGTGTTTGTATGGCAGAGTACTCCAGACTCACTCAACAGCTGTTACAAAATACCAAACTTGGTAATTAAGTCTGACAAGAGACATACCTCTCAGCTTTGCAGAAGAGAATGCTGGCAATGGATCTAGTTCATAAGAAAGTTCTTAAGGTCAAAAATAAAAATTAACAGCAACTTAATTTGAGAGCAATGGGAAAAAACAACAACATTTCCTTAAATGACAGTAGTATGCCCCTACAAGCAAGACCATAAACTAGTATTACAAGGTCATCACTCAACTGTGCACCTGACTTACTACAGCTTATCTCCTAATGCCCCAAGGTGTCAACAGGTGAGTGAAGAATAAAAAGGAATGCAATAAAAAGGGGGGAAAAGGTAAAAATTTTGGGACACTCCATCGTTTCTTGTTCCTCTTTGACTTTCTAATTACTATAGTTACAATTTAAAAGTTTAAAAGGGAAAAAGAACTAAAATTATTTTTGTAAAATTGAGCTACTTGATGAAAACTTAACATGAGGCACGTTTAGTTTTTAAATTCCTGCAGCCAGATTTTAAAAAGTAAAACTGAAATTAATGCCTTTTATTTAACCCAGTATATTCAATATATTGTCATTTCAACACGAAATCAATATAAAAGTTTTCCACAGTTTGTTTAAATTAGTTAAAATTTAAAAAAATTAAAAATTCAGTTTCTCAGTCACATTTCAAGTACTCAATAGCCGTATATGGCTAGTGGCTATGGTACTGAAAAGTGCAGACTAAATAAAACTGTAACACAGATATTCTCAAAACTTTTTTGGTCAAGGGAAACTTTTATACTCAAACTACTGAAGACCACAAAGAGATTTTGTTTATGTAAGTCCTATTTTCATGAATTTTTTTATTTTATAAAAGATTTTTTTTTTTTACTATTTATGGGGGGAGGGGGGCAGAGAGATAGGAATACACAGACTCCAAAGCAGGCTCCAGGCTCTGAGCTGTCAGCACAGAGCCAGATGCGTGGCTCGAACTCAGACCATCAGATCGTGACCTGAACCCAAGTCAATTGCTTAATTCACTGAGCCACCCAGGTGCCCCTATACAAGTCCTATTTTTAGATATTATTCTATTTGAAATTGAAATTAAGAAGACATTACAATATTTATAAGTTCATTGAAAATAATAAACCCAATACTTGTAATATTTTTATGAAAACAGATTTTCTATCACAAACAAAAATCAGTAAGTAGCTTTGTTTTACATTGTAGCAACTTTTTGTTAATACATGATAGAAACACAGTTGAATTCATATTTGCTTCTTCATTCAATTTGTTGTGATATCAAG